TATTTAAGAAATTTGAAATAATTTGAAAATGGATTAAAAAATAAATTTGTAAAATAAACATACTTATACTTTAGATGACAAAGTATTTTCCACAAATAAATATTTAATAAAAATATAATTAATAAGGAAGTAAACTGTAACCAACAGAGCACTCAGTATTCTGGGAAGTTTGTGTGCATTGGGAATCATATTTTTTTCAAATAAAGCCAAGGTAACACTCATTTTGCATACAGCACACAGTGAAAATTACATGAATATGACAGTGGGCAAATGCATAAAGCGCAGCATAATTTGAAATCACGAATTTAATGTTTAAAGCATTCAATTTGCACGGACCGATCGTCTCACAGAGAACACGCGATCATGCAGGATACACATGCACACTTCACAAGATCTCACAACTGGATTCGACTAAGTTTGCAAGGTTTGTGAAATAAAATTTTCATTAGACATTAAAGATTTGTTTAAATTATGTAAATGCGTATTTGCTGAATGCTGACGGCAAACGAGAAAGTATTATAATGTTTGCCTTTCTATTACTAATAATATAAAAGCAATCGTTATAATACTTTTTGTATACATTTTAATTCCTTTGTTTAACCGTTCTATCTGATTATTATCTATCCGTCTATCCGTATTAGACAGAACTGTTAATGACGACAGAGAACAAGAGGGAGAATGTGAGCACTGTGTGCCCACGTCCTCACCGGCTAATGCCGATATTTGAAAAATGTCAAATATCGGCCGATATATCGGCCTTAAGCGATATATCGGTCGACCACTAGTGCTAGCTAACCATGTGCTGATTAGCATCTTTGTTTTTCTGGGTGTTATCCCATAGAATTGTCACTACCGAAACATGTCATCATTGTTTCGGTAGTGACAAAAGGGAACACATAATCCTCATATTTGGGGGAAAGAAACAAAATTAAAACAGTTATGCAAATTTTATTTTAGTATGTTTTAGTATGCGAGTTAAAATTGTGTAATGTGATGTGGTTGCTACCAAAGCATTACTATCACTACTGAAACTGTGCAGTACCGAACACATTACTACCGAAACATGGGATGTTTTATCAAAAATAAAGTATACTGAATTATCAACTAAGATGTCATGATAGTTTTTGGTTCGATGTATATTCAAACTTATGAATCCATAATGTTGAAATCAGTATGATCAACTTTTTGCCTTTTACAAAGAAAAATTGGATTGAAAATACAACAAATCTCATAAATTACACTTGAAATATTGATAAAAATGTAATTATTGATTAACCTCTGAAACAAATAAAAAGAAAATAGCAAAAATATATATATTTAAAATGTAGATGTAAGCAAAATCTTAATAGGTCAATATAACCCTTCT